TGTGACCCATTCTGTACTGTTTTTCATATCGGTGTTTTGTATTTATGGATTTGAGAATGCTGGTGTTAACCAGGGACTTTTTCAGTCTCTTAGCTGTCATCTGTTTATTTTTTTAGGGCAGTGCTTATTATAGAGGTATTGGGTCTTTTTTAGAAAATTATTAATACATTCGTCAATCTGTATAGATTTCTAGCTCAGTGTGCCAATCAATGTTTGTTACTGCTGTTGTGAAGTTATTAATGGCTGCCTCATTGTGAAGTCTGAAGGTGACTTTAGTAGTGTCTTGGGGTATTTTACCAAGAGTTGTTATGAGGAAAGTAGGGTAGTGGTCTGTGGTATTATCTGTAATTATGCCTGATTTTAAAGGGGATATGGTGTTGGTCCAGATGTGGTCAAGTCACTCTGTCTGACTTTTTTGGGTTATCCTAGGTTCTCTACACATATGCTGCTATGTATGATAATTCTATGTAACTGTATTGTGTATACCTGAATAAATTTACTTACTTACTTACTAGTCTCTGTAACTCTTGTAGGTTTTGTTACTGTTGGTAGCAACATGCAGTTACTCATTGTGTTTGTAAATTCAGTAAGGTGTGGGTCCTGGTCTTGCAGGAGATTTATATTGAAGTCACCTGAGAGTAGTAAGTGATCTTTGTTCATGCGTGCATCAGTTATCATACTTCCTAGGTTTTGACTAAATTGGCTAATGTTTGACTGTGGAACTCTGTAGATGTTTATCAATGTGAGAGGTTTTTGTAGGTATTTGGATTTGAGTTTAGCTATTATATATTCCCCATGTTCATTCCTTGTGCAAGTATTAGTGATACATTCTAGTTGGTCCGAGTAGTATATTGCTGTGCCACCCCCTTGTTTGACTGGCCTACAGTTGTGTATGGCTGTGTAACCAGGAATGGCATAGACATCTGTAGTATCAGGCTTCCATTCAAAATACAAATACATTTTGACCCAAATCAACACATTAAACACTTATTAGGCACTATAGCTTCGGAAATTAAATAATTTCCACAAAACTGTTATCTGTTTTACAATAATTTTTTTCGTCCACTGAATATATCATTGCTTAGTTAATTTTAAGCCTACCCATAATGCTCTGCATACAAGGAGCTTTGGCATGCTGCATTTTAAAAATTATATTCCTTGTACATCTCTGTATCATGTTCAAATAAATAAATAAATAAGAGGAGAATCAGTGGCAGCGGTGGTACTGGCACCAGCATCATCAAGAGTGAGCAGTGTACCATGATGGCGTCCAGGATGATGTTCTGCCCTGGTTACAGGCACTTCTTACTGAGAAATATTACTCCCTCACCTGCCAGGGTAAGACAATATTACTCCTTCACCTGCCAGGGTAAGACAATATTACTCCTTCACCTGCCAGGGTAAGACTATTACTCCCTCACCTGCCAGGGTAAGACTATTACTCCCTCACCTGCCAGGGTAAGACTATTACTCCCTCACCTGCCAGGGTAAGACTATTACTCCCTCACCTGCCAGGGTAAGACTATTACTCCCTCACCGCCAGGTAAACTAATTACTCCCTCACCTGCCAGGGTAAGACTATTACTCCCTCACCTGCCAGGGTAAGACTATTACTCCCTCACCTGCCAGGGTAAGACTATTACTCCCTCACCTGCCAGGGTAAGACAATATTGCTCCCTCACCTGCCAGGGTAAGACTATTACTCCCTCATCTACCAGGATAAGATAATATTACTCCCTCATCTACCAAGGTAAGACCATATTGCTCCCTCACTGGCTTAGCGCTTCTTTTTGATTATAATAATAATATAATATTACTCCCTCACCTGCCAGGGTAAGACAATATTACTCCTTCACCTGCCAGGGTAAGACAATATTACTCCCTCACCTGCCAGGGTAAGATTATTACTCCCTCACCTGTCAGGGTAAGACAATATTGCTCCCTCACCTGCCAGGGTAAGACTATATTACTCCTTCACCTGCCAGGGTAAGACAATATTACTCCTTCACCTGCCAGGGTAAGACAATATTACTCCTTCACCTGCCAGGGTAAGACAATATTGCTCCCTCACCTGCCAGGGTAAGACAATATTGCTCCCTCACCTGCCAGGGTAAGACAATATTGCTCCCTCACCTGCCAGGGTAAGAATATTGCTCCCTCACCTGCCAGGGTAAGACTATTACTCCCTCACCTGCCAGGGTAAGACAATATTGCTCCCTCACCTGCCAGGATAAGACTATTACTCCCTCACCTGCCAGGGTAAGACAATATTGCTCCCTCACCTGCCAGGGTAAGACTATTACTCCCTCACCTGCCAGGGTAAGACAATATTGCTCCCTCACCTGCCAGGGTAAGACTATTACTCCCTCATCTACCAGGATAAGATAATATTACTCCCTCATCTACCAAGGTAAGACCATATTGCTCCCTCACTGGCTTAGCGCTTCTTTTTAATCTTTATTTACTACAAGTACATGTACAAGGTATACAGCCCTAGCTGACAACAATGACATACTACTACATAGAAAGCCACTTGTTATGCGGTGCATTTCGGACAAATTAGGTCAGTGTCCCAGGATGCGACCCACACCAGTCGACTAACACCCAGGTACCCATTTTACTGATGGGGAACATAGACAACAGGTGGAAAGAAACACGCCCAATGTTTCTACTCTGGCTGGGAATCGAACCCAGGCCCTCGCCGTGTGAAGCGAGAGCGTTAACCACCAGGCCAGGCCACCAGGGTAAGACAATATTGCTCCCTCACCTGCCAGGATAAGACTATTACTCCCTCACCTGCCAGGGTAAGACAATATTGCTCCCTCACCTGCCAGGGTAAGACTAATTTACTCCCTTTACCTGCCAGGGTAAGACAATATTGCTCCCTCACCTGCCAGGGTAAGACTATTACTCCCTCACCTGCCAGGGTAAGACAATATTGCTCCCTCACCTGCCAGGGTAAGACTATTACTCCCTCACCTGCCAGGGTAAGACAATATTGCTCCCTCACCTGCCAGGGTAAGACTATTACTCCCTCACCTACCAGATTAAGATAATATTACCCCCTCACCTGCCAGGGTAAAACAATATAACTCCCTCATTTGCCAGGGTAAGACAATATTGCTCCCTCACCTGCCAGGGTAAGACTATTACTCCCTCACCTGCCAGGGTAAGACTATTACTCCCTCACCTACCAGGGTAAGACTATTACTCCCTCACCTACCAGGGTAAGACTATTACTCCCTCACCTGCCAGGGTAAGACAATATTACTCCCTCACCTACCAAGGTAAGACAATATTACTCCATTATCTGCCTGGGTAAGACTGTTACTCCCTCACCTGCCAGGGTAAGACAATATTACTCCCTCACCTACCAGGTTAAGATAATATTACCCCCTCACCTGCCAGGGTAAAACAATATAACTCCCTCATTTGCCAGGGTAAGACAATATTACTCACCTACCAGGGTAATACCACCTTGATCTAGTATGTCATCATTACTTATTTCACCAGGTCATCCAGTACACTGCCTGGAGAACTCGCTGGCGTCGGCGACTTCATCAAATATTCACCCAGGAATAACCAAAAATCTCGAATGCTCAGGATAGGTAAAGCGTGATAAATGAAGACATACAGTAATATATAAACTGCGTCGGGAAAATAATAAAAATTGCTTTATCTTGGCAGTACTTGAGAAAAATCCTGTTCACCTCATGATGATGGTGCACATTTAGCAACCATCATCACTATCACTGTATTATTAGTCTCAAAATACAAATTCAAAGTTTATTCTCTATAAGGATTACAATGCTGAGTTTACAGAATTTGGTTATTGTGTGGTTTACATGTAGTAAAATAATGATTACAGAGTGTACCACTAGAACACCTAGCATGGCTAGGCATTTCGGGCAGACATAGTTTAATTCTTAATTTTAAAATATTACAAATTATGAGGTAAGTTGATATTATGGCTAAGTGACTAAATACTAGTTTGAGAGTTTAGTAATGTGAATGCTTTTGTTTTGGCACAGTACATAGTTTCAGTATTGGAGTATCACAGGATTCATTATTTTAAGATTGAGATTAATATTTCTGTTTATGGTCAAATGGGTGAGTGAGTGCAAGTGTGAACCACCAGGTGGTATTCGTGTAGTTAGTTGACGGGGTGTATCAGGGAGATAAGATGTTTTCTAATGGTAGTTTTGAAGGTGATGAATGTGTCTGCAGTTCTAGAGTTCTCAGGTAGGGTGTTCCAGATTTTAGGGCCTTTGACATACATTGAATTTTTGTAAAGGTTTAGTCGGACACGGGGAATGTCGTAGAGATGTTTGTGTCTGGTGTTATGCCTGCGGGTTCTGTCACAACTATCAAGAAAGCGTTTTAGGTCAAGGTTGATATTGGAGTTTAAGGTCCTGTAGATGTAGATTGCACAGTAGTAAGTGTGGATGTACTGAACAGGGAGTAAGTTTAGATCTATGAAGAGTGGGGGGGTGTGTTGCCGGGGATGGGATTTAGTGATTATTCTTACTGCAGCTTTTTGTTGGGTTATTATTGGCTTTAGGTGTGTTGCTGCAGTTGATCCCCAAGCACAAATAGCATAGGTGAGGTATGGATAAATAAGTGAGTGGTATAATGTGAGAAGGGCATTTTGCGGCACGTAGTATCGTATCTTGGAGAGGATCCCAACCGTTTTGGATACTTTTTTGATTATGTGTTGGATATGGGTGCTGAAATTCAGGTTGTTGTCATGGTATAGGCCTTGGAATTTGCCCTCATTATGTCTGGTAATTAGAGTGTTGTCAATCTTAATGTTAATTTGTGCATCTCCTGCTCTGCTACCAAACATAATATTGTAGGTTTTGTCAGTGTTAAGCGTAAGTTTATTGGCTGTCATCCAAGTCGATATTTTGATCAGCTCCTCATTAACAATGGTGTTGAGGGTGGCAAGATTAGGGTGAGAGATGACATAAGTCGTGCCGTCAGCAATGAGTATGGGTTTCAGGTGTTGGGAAACGTTTGGAAGAACATTGATGTATATGAGGAAGAGCAGGGGACCAAGGACACTTCCCTGCGGGACTCCAGTATCAAGTGGCCGTGTTGTTGATGCTGTGTCTTTAAAGGTGACATACTGATACCTATTATTAAGGTAAGATTTGAAATAAGCAAGTGCAAGGCAGGTAGTAATTAAGTTTATTTGAGTACAGGTACACACTAGTACAATTATCACACCTAGTAACATACGTGTAAATTACTTTGAATAACAAAAAATGGTCAAGACTTATTACTATTGGGACCCTACTGTATTACAGAACTTAATTAATCATTGAATTTCATAGCATATTAAAAATGAAGTGAAAGACTGGCAATGACTGAAATATTAGGTATATACACTAATTATCAAACCCCAATGGAAATAAGTCACTCTGTCTGACTTTTTTGGGTTATCCTAGGTTCTCTACACATATGCTGCTATGTATGATAATTCTATGTAACTGTATTGTGTATACCTGAATAAATTTACTTACTTACTTACTTACATAAGAACATAAGAACATAAGGACGAAGGAACACTGCAGAAGGCCTACTGGCCCATGCGAGGCAGGTCCAAGTCCCTACCGGCTTAAGCCAATGCACCCAACCTAGTCAGGTCAGGTCACATTGACTTAAGGGAGGAAAAACGGCAAACCGCCCTGTTAGCACAAGCTATCAGGTCTAACTAAACACCCACCCACATCTACTCATGTATTTATCCAACCTATTTTTAAAGCTACACAACGTTCTGGCCTCTATAACGGTACTTGGGAGTTTGTTCCACTCATCCACAACTCTATTACCAAACCAGTACTTTCCTATATCCTCCTGAATCTGAATTTTTCCAACTTAAAACCATTGCTGCGAGTCCTGTTTTGGCTAGATTTTTTTCAGCACACTATTTACATCCCCTTTATTTTTTCCTGTCTTCCACTTATAAACCTCAATCATATCCCCCTAATTCAAAGTTTTTCTAGAGAGTGCAGTTTCAGGGCCCTTAGTCTATCCCCATAGGAAGGTTTCTGATACATGGGATCATCTTTTTTCATCCTCCTTGTACATTTTCCAGAGAATTTATATCCATTCTGTAATACGGTGACCAAAACTGTGCAGCATAATCTAAATGAGGCCTAACCCAAAGGATGTATAGAGTTGAAGAACAACCTGAGGACTCCTATTATTTATGCTTCTTGATATGAAGCCAAGGATTCTATTAGCTTATTGCGAACACTTATGCACTGTTGTCTTGTTTCAGATTACTGCTAACCAGAAAATCCTAAATCTTTTTCGCAATCCGTAATATTAAGATCTACATTATTTAGTTTATATGTGGCATGGTTATTGTCCTGTCCAACATTTAGAACTTTGCATTTGTCTATATTAAACTGCATCTGCCACTTCTCCGACCACTGCATCAGTCTATTCAAATCTTCCTGGAGTGCTCGAATGTCCTCGTCAGATTGAATTCGACGGCCTATTTTGGTGTCATCGGCAAACTTGCCGATGTCGCTCTTTATGCCCTCATCTATGTCGTTTATGTAGATTGTGAACAGCAGGGGGCCCAACACTGACCCCTGTGGAACACCGCTCGTGACGCTTCCCCACTCGGATTTCTCCCCATTTATGCAAACTCTCTGCTGCCTATTTGTCAACCATGCCTCTATCCAGGAAAAAATTTCTCCTCCTATTCCATGTGCTTTAATTTTCCTCAATAGTCTCTGATGTGGGACCCTGTCAAAAGCTTACTGAAGTCCATATACACAATATCATATTCATTACCAAGATCTACCTCCTCAAACCTTAGTGAAAAAAGTTAATAAATTCGTAAGGCAGGAACGCCCCTTTGTAAACCATGCTGAGATTCGTTGATTAATTTATGCTTTTCAAGGTGGCTACGAACTGCCTCGGCAATTATTGATTCCATAAATTTTCCCACTATGGAAGTTAGGCTTATTGGTCTATAGTTCGAAGCTAAGGACCTGTCACCTGTTTTGAAAATAGGTATCACATTTGCCATTTTCCACTTATCTGGCACCATGCCAGTTTGTAGTGATATGTTGAAAAGATTCAGCCAAAGGTGTGCTAAGCTCCTCTTTACATTCCTTTAGAACCCTTGCATACAGTTCATCAGGGCCTGGGGATTTGTTAGGTTTTAATTTATCTATTTGCCTAAGGACCATTCACTTGTGACCCTAATCGTGCACAGTTTATTATCGTCCTGTTCTACATAATTTATCATTACTGGAATATCGCTGGTATCCTCCTGTGTAAAAACTGAGAGGAAGTATGTGTTAAAAATTCTACACATTTCCTTATCACTGTCAGTGAGCTGACCCGAGGAACTTTTGAGTGGGCCTATCTTGTCCCTGATCTTACTTCTGTATACCTGAAAGAATCCTTTTGGGTTAGTCTTCGATTCTCTTGCAACTTTAACCTCATAAAAAATCTCTTTTTGCTTTTCTAATTCCCTTTTTTATTTCTTAGGGAGATAAGATGTTTTTTGATGGTAGTTTTGAAAATGGTGGCAGAGTCAGCAGTTCTAGAGTTTTCAGGTAGGGAGTTCCAGATTTTAGGCCCTTTAATGTACATTAAGCGTTTGTATAGAATTAGTCGGACACAGGGAATGTCATAAAGATTTTTGTGTCTGGTATTATGCCTATGGGCCCTGTCACAAGTATCAAGAAAGTGTTTTTGTTCAGGGTTAATATTGGAATTTATGGTTCTGTAAATGTAGTTTGCACAGTAGTAAGTGTGGATGTTCTGAACAGTGAGTAAGTTTAGGTCTTTGAAGAGGGGGGGGGGGTTGCCTAGGATTGGATTGCATGAAAATTCTTACTGTGGCTTTTTGTTGGGTTATTATTGGTTTTAGGTGGGTTGCTGCTGTTGATCCCCATGGACAAATGGCATATGTGAGGTAGGGATAGATGAGTGAATAGTATAGTGAGTAGGGCTGATTGTGGTACATAGTAATGTATCTTAGAGAGGATCCCAACAGTTTTGGATGCTTTTTTGTGCTATGTGTTGGATATGGGTGCTGAAATTCAGGTTGCTGTCAAGGTGTAGGCCCAGGAATTTGCCCTCATTATGTTTAAGTAAGTAAGTAAGTAAGTAAATTTATTCAGGTATACACAATACAGTTACATAGAATTATCATACATAGCAGCATATGTGTAGAGAACCTAGGATAACCCAAAAAAGTCAGTAAGAGTGTTGTCAGTCATAATGTACAGTTGTGCAACACCTGTTCTGTTACCAGACATAATATAGAAGGTTTTGTCAGTATTAAGTGTAAGTTTATTGGCAGTCATCCAGGTTGATATTTTTTTATAGCTCTTCATTAGCAATGGTGTTGAGTGAGGCAAGATTTGGGTGGGAGATGACAGAAGTCATATTGTCAGCAGAGAATTGGTTTCAGGTATTGATACATTGGGAAGATCATTGATGTAGAAGAGGAAGAGCAGGGGACCAAGGACACTTCCCTGTGGCACTCCAGTGTCAAGTGGCCGTGTAGATGAGGTTGTGTCCTTAATGGTGACGTATTGATATCCCCTTTAGTAAGGTAGGATTTGAAATATATAAGTGCATGGCCTCTTATACTGTACCGTAATGGTCAATGAAGAGTCCTAATGGATATTCCTTTCATGAGAGACTGAATGGTTGATGTGTCATTCACATTGTTTCATTAGGGGACTGACTAAAAAATTTGACTACCTCATTTTAATAATACAGTAAGATATTTGAAATTTATCACTCTTTACCTGACTAGACTTAAGTAATCTTTAAGTATTAGGTTAAGTCTGCCTGAAATGCTCTGGCATGATAGTGGCTTTCTTTGTACCAATCAAATTATGGAATGTAAACATACATTGTAAGCTTTGCAAAGAAATAAATTTTTTTTGTTCACATTGTTTCATTAGGATGGATAATGAGAACCTTCAAAACTAGGGAGGCCAAGCCCATGATGACACTCTTCAGGTCTCTTGTTCTATCTAGGCTGGAATATTGCTGCACTCTAACAGCACCTTTCAAGGCAGGTGAAATTGCTGAACTAGAAAATGTACAGAGAACCTTCACGGCACACACAACTGTGATAAAACACCTCAGTTACTGGGAACGCTTGAAGTTCCTAAACCTGTACTCCCTAGATTGCAGGGGGGAGTGATACATGATTATATACACTTGGAAAATTCTAGAGGGACTAGTACCGAACTTGCACATGAAAATCACTCTCTATGAAAGCAAAAGACTTGGTAGACGATGCAACATCCCCCAATGAAAAGCAGGGGTGTCACTAGCACGATGAGAGACAACACAATAAGTGTCAGGGGCCCGAGACTGTTCAACTGCCTCCCAGCATTCAGTATTATTCTTAAAAACCACCTTGACTAATTTGCTTTAGTATTAAGGTTAAATAAAACTGTAATACAGTTAATCACTACTACTTTTAAGTAGTTACTATGTACTATTATCTGTCTAGTTTTAAGTAGTTACTATGTATTAAGATTAGTCTGCCTGAAATGCCCTGGCATAATAGTGGCTTTCTTTGTACTTAGCAAACCAAAATTATAATTACATATTGTAACCTTTACAAAGAAATAAAGCTTTATCTTTATCTTATCTTTATAATGGGGATTACCAGTAGACCTTTGTCTTCAAGCAGGCACTGGACAGGCACCTAAAGTCAATACCTGACCAGCCAGGCTGTGGTTTGTACGTTGGGTTGCTTGCGGCCAACAGTAACAGCCTAGTTGATCAGGCCCTGATCCCCCATGAGGCCTGGTCACAGACCGAGCCATGGGGGTGTTGACCCCCGGAACCCTCTCCAGGTATACTCCAGGGGACTGACTGGTTGATAATAATAGTAATTTTTATTTTAGCATGATACTGTACATGTTTGTACAAAGGAGTATAACAATTGGAAGTACATGCCAAAACCCCCTTTACATGTACATGTATATGCAGAGCATTTTGGCCAAACTTAAGACTAACTTATGATTAATAAGGCAATAACAGTGCAATAATTGTACATATGGTCATTAGGTGAGCTGCAATGACTACAAGAAAATTCAATATTCTATTAGTTTGATAGAGAAGAATTACACTTTTGATTATTAA